CACATATAATACGTCATGTATTGGGGACAAGAACGCTATCTTAGATGTTGGAATAAATTCATCTAGTTTGTAGTAAATAATACATGTGTTATTAAGTCATAATATGTATATTAATTGATTAAAAAAAAAAAAAAAAACATGTTTTTACGTGAAGCTCAGTCACAACCCTCCCTACTAAATTGAAATTAAGTTTGTTCAATCAATCAAAAGAACATTTATTTTTCAAACAATTTCATAATAAAAACTAATAAGTCACTATTAAAATGCAATTTTTTAAAATAATAAAAATCCATTTTTTCAACAATACATTTGTAAGTTCGAACTTAATATTTTGATTACCATTCTATATTAATCTCAATTTAACACAAATTTATACTTTGTAGAGGTGGGTTAAATATATTGTTTTAAATTTTTCAGTTTAATAATTACAAATAATATATTTATAATTTTATATAGTATAGTAAAGTATATATTTGTAAAGGTTATTGAACAATTCTCAGTAGGCGTTTTCAAAACCAATTCTAGAATTGAATTTCATTACATAATTATGTGCTGTAATACCAAACACGTTCTGTAGTTTTACGTGAACAAGCGAGTTAATGAAAAATGACACCAGCTGCAAATCATTTATACAAAAACACCCCATTGCAAAAAAATCCATAAAAGTAATTATAAACCGATAATGAAATATTCAAAAACTTGAAGTTTCTGTTAAGGCTATGTATCTTCTCTTGAATTATTAAACTTGTTTTTGGTAAATTGCTTTATTCAAAATAGTTTCATTTTCTGACCTAATAAATTGTTAAGTGAAGTGAACATGTGAAATTATTGAAAACTGAAACTAGCTTTAAATCATATTCATAACTGCATAAAAAGTAATTATAAAATGATTATGAATCAAAAACTTAAAATTCCTGTGATGTTTTTTAATTGCTATATTAAACTTTGTTGGGAAATTGGTAAAATACTCATATTCAAAACCATTACTACTGTGACCCAAAAAATTCTTGCGTGAATAAGGAAAAAATTAATGAAAAATTACACTAGCTATAAATCATACACATAACTCACACCACGTACTAAAAAATACATAAAAGTAATTATAAAATAATAATGAACCAAAATTTTAAATTCCTCTGATGTTTCTTAACTTGCAATATTAAAGTTGTTTTGAAAATATCTTTTACTATATTATAATAATAATAAAATCAGCCTTCAAAGTTTATGATTTCGGGCATTTTCTCATGCAGAAACTATCATGAAATCCTTAAAAATTGTTGTTGTCACATTGAAAATGGGGAAAATAACAGGATAGCATGATGTATAAATATATAAAGTGTATTGTAGTGCAATAAAATAAATTTTTTTAAATTTGACATTCCAGCATATTTTGGCTATTTTCTCTGAAACACGATTTGCGACGAGTGACTGGTTTGGCTGGTCTTTGCCACATATAATACGTCATGTATTGGGGACAAGAACTCTATCTTAGATGTTGGAATAATATGTATATTAATTGATTTAAAAAAAAAACTCAAACATGTTTTTACGTGAAGCTCAGTCACAACCCTCCCTACTGAATCGTTTATGCTGTAACGCACCAGAAACAGAACCATGATTTTATGATGATCATCATTTTTGTGATTTTTCATAAAAAATTTAATGTAGGTGTCTAGGCCCAGACTTGCTGAGACATAGTAGTGAACCAGTGGGATGGGGAGGGGATTTTCATTCAATATTAGAAGTATAGCATTGAGTAATTGAAATTAAGTTTGTTCAATCAATCAAAAGAACATTTATTTTTCAAACAATTTCATAATAGAAAAAAAATACATTTAATTAAACAAGTTTGAGGGGTGAACTAAGTCACTATTAAATTGCAATTTTTAAAAATAATAAAAATCCATTTTTTCAACAATACGTTTGTAAGTTCGAACTTAATATTTCGATTACCGTACTATATTAATCTCAATTCAACACAAATGTATACTTTGTAGAGGTTGGTTAAATATATTGTTTTAAATTTTTCAGTTTATTAATTACAAATAATATATTTATAATTTTATCAAAGTATATATTTGTAAAGGTTTTTTGAACAATTCTCAGTAGGCGTTTTCAAAACCAATTCTAGAATTGAATTTCATTACATAATTATGTGCTGTAATACCAAACACGTTCTGTAGTTTTACGTGAACAAGCGAGTTAATGAAAAATGACACCAGCTGCAAATCATTTATACAAAAACACCCCATTGCAAAAAAATCCATAAAAGTAATTATAAACCGATAATGAAATATTCAAAAACTTGAAGTTTCTGTTAAGGCTATGTATCTTCTCTTGAATTATTAAACTTGTTTTTGGTAAATTGCTTTATTCAAAATAGTTTCATTTTCTGACCTAATAAATTGTTAAGTGAAGTGAACATGTGAAATTATTGAAAACTGAAACTAGCTTTAAATCATATTCATAACTGCATAAAAAGTAATTATAAAATGATTATGAATCAAAAACTTAAAATTCCTGTGATGTTTTTTAATTGCTATATTAAACTTTGTTGGGAAATTGGTAAAATACTCATATTCAAAACTATTACTACTGTGACCCAAAAAATTCTTGCGTGAATAAGGAAAAAATTAATGAAAAATTACACTAGCTATAAATCATACACATAACTCACACCACGTACTAAAAAATACATAAAAGTAATTATAAAATAATAATGAACCAAAATTTTAAATTCCTCTGATGTTTCTTAACTTGCAATATTAAAGTTGTTTTGAAAATATCTTTTACTATATTATAATAATAATAATAATAATAATAATAATAAGCTTTATTTTAACAAAGGAAAAAATTGTTTCAACTAGATTTGTTATTCTACAAGTCTGTGTAGGAGAAGCAACAAATTAACAAATTATTTAATTGAACAACTTAAAGAAAACCAAAAATACAATTAATACAAATATTCGATATGGAAATGTTGACATTTTGTAACCTAGACTCCACCACTGGTACCTCTCAACCTGGACATTTTGAGGCCTGAAATGCCTCGGTTACGAAATGTCCAGATTTTGAAGCACCTGCCATATAGCGTCATAAAAACATCCAGGTTCCAAAATGCCTGTCACCCATCTACATGATAAAATTTTAAAAATTACCAAAAGTTACTAACAGAAATTAAAAACTAAACTAAAAATCAAACGCTAATAAACAGAATTACAATATCACTATGGATGTCCAAAAATTGTGTTTACATGGTGGCAATAAACATTTTTTTTTTAAAAATTGACATTAACAACATTTTTTAGGTCTGTACTGAACTGTATTCAATGATCCAATAAATTCTAATGTGAAATAAAACTAGTTTTTGTTAGTAATTTCTTGATCCAAACAGCTAGGCCTGTAGCTTTGAGTGGAGAAACATTCTGCTGGCAACTTAGCTTTCAGGAATCCCTTTAATCATGGGAATCCCAATAATCATGTTTGAATCAAGTTTTTAATCACACATACAAGCAATTAAAAGATGACTAAATTTTTAAAAACTTGAAATTAATTGATATATATTAATTTGAAATGTTCATCTTGTTTAGCAGATTCCTAGGATTCAAAATCGTTACATTCCATGACCCAATAAATCCCAACCTAGTTACGTCTGTCTGTAAATGAGTTCCACCGATTATTATCAGATATGTCATAAATATGTGTGTGGTGAGTACTAAATAAATGCAAGAGATAATAAATGTGTATTTATAGCCACAGTTAATTGGTTGCCCACTGTCATTTTAAAACAGGCTTTATCTCAATTATCAAATATAATTTTAGTATGCGTCAGTATCTATTAGTTTTATGTACTGTATATATACCGTAGGTTACCTGTCTATGATTTACTTAACAAATAAGATTTTAATAGTTTATATTATCCATTTCAAAGAAACACCCATCAATACAAACAAAACAGTAGATGGTATAAATAAACTATCCTATTATACTAACCCATAAAATAACAGAGAACAACCCAAAAGTAATCCTGGATGTTCTGAGTTTATACAACAACTTTCTCCCCATATCTAGATTGCCCAACACTGTACTATTTTTCAAATTATGAATGGTTGTTAATTATCACTACATTATGATGAATTGTCAATTTTGTAATTAGATTTTGGTACTTGATACTCATGTTGACTAAGATAATTAAGAAGATGATCAGATGGGATATATTGATGATAAGAGAGAGGAAGATGATGTGAAAAAGAAAAAAGGAGTGTAAACATTACAAATAAATTTTTAAAATTTACAGGAACAAGTGTCAACATATTTGCATAAAACATGAAGCCTGTATGAATATACTATGATTTTTTTTTCTGTGATTTTTCATATCATGCGAAAAAAAAAAATTGTTTTTGATTTAATGTTTAACTCTTCACAATTTTTAAATGAAGTTGGTCATTTTGTTGCATTGGGAGATATGGTATTATGGTTACAGTACTCACCTTCTATTTCCAGGGTTCTGGGTTCAAATCTAGAAGTATTCATTGTCATATAGTACCACACTTCTAAGCCTCATAATACACACGTATAGCCTCAGCATTGGGTTTATTTGTAATTTTCATCGTACATCGAAAGATTTACCACTCATAGAATGGTATGTGATATTCAAGGTATCATTACGAGTGTGAAAAACTCACTTTCCACTAGATTATTACCCTCTGATTGGAAGGTAAGCATCTTTAGCCCAATGCAACAGCTCTGTTCTACTTTTCTAAATTATATACACTGCTAATTGGGAATCGGATTCCATACTAACCACTAAGTACAGGCTCGGTGACCTAGTGGTTAAGATACCAGGCTTGTTATCTGGAGGTTGTGGGTTCAATTCCCACCTGAATCACTTGTAAGAAATTCATTTGAGAGCGTACTGAGTATCCAGTATTATAACATTTTGTAATAAGAATTACTGCGGAAAAGCAAATTATTAATTAATTAATGTTTTATCATTTCAGAATTCCACAACACCTCAGCCCTGTGCCGAAGCCTTATTCAAATACGATGCCCAGGAACCCTGGTAAGGAAGTTCACTAAACCTTTGAAATATACTAGACAGGTGTAAAATGATGTCATATACCCTATCAATCACCAGGCTGTATTATATTTCTCGTCTGAGGAGAACACTTACGTTGCCTACATGGATAGACCGACTTATTGTATAGTACATCATTATCTAATGTTCCTTGGAGATTAAACCTCATGAAAGACTGTAACAGAGATTCAAGATCATCCGCATACACAAATTATATCTAGTTTATTCCAGAGAAGTTTCCCAAGGGCATCTGATATCATAATGGGAATGTGATCTAAGGCACTAGCTCATATGTAGGTCTTATAGCATGTATTGTTATATTTTTTGGGAATTATATAAGACAATTTTGTAATCTCATGATAAATATAGTAACATTTAGGCTATAGTAAAGTTCAACCAAGAGGTTGACTAGTCTTGTAATATTTTACTTAGTAATACTTGGTCAACAAATTAAACACATCATTTAAATTCAAAGCAAGGCTTGGAGGAAAACATTTTTGGATATGTTGTAGAACTGATTTTTCTTAGACACAACAAGCATAATTGAAGAAAAACTTGGGAACGGTTAGTGTCTTAGAGAAATCAGTCAACTACAACATATCAAAAATTACTTACCATTAATAATTAATTAATTATAAATTACCATTTTCAGGCAATTTAGAAATTTGCAAAATTTCATACCTCGGCTCTAACTTTGAGGTAGTTATAGGCCCTTCGTACGTAAAGTTGCCATTTACCCCACCCCACCCCCACCCCTTCCCAATTTCAAATTCCTGGATCCACAACCATTTAATTTAGGCTATTAACATTTATCTAAAAGGATAAATTGAAGTATGTCTACCTTCATAACTAGACTACTTCTTATTGTGTCTACACAGATTCTAGTACAATTATTGTACTCTGCCAAGTCAGTCAATCAGATGGCATAAAGAAAATGGTGGTATAAGTAGATGCAACTAGACTTATAATATTTCACTTGGGCTAGAGTATTATTGTTTGCCCAAATGTTAAAGTACATTTTTGGTTGAACTAAGTCCTTCAATAAATATTTACTTGAGCTAGTGAGGTTTTGCTGCTTTAGGGAATTTCGTAAGACATTTTTTTAGTCTCTTGATGTATAAGTATAACATTGGCTAATGTTTAACCAATATTTTACTTGTGCTTGTAATGTTTGACTATTATCCTTTGATAAATATTTTACTTGAGCTGGTTAGTAATTTTTTTTCTCCTTGAGATCATACCTTTAAAGGTTGTTAATCGCAAGTAATATTTTACTTGGGATCATAACCTTTTCAAGCTGCTACTAGCCCAAAGCTAGGAACTTTAAAAAGCTTTCCTCTTTCGCTTTCTTCTTTAAAGATGATGGGAACGAATTACTCAATGACCTTTTGTCCCTGCTCGCTGCTTTTAAATCACACCTCCATTTAAACACTTGTCAATAACCAGCAAAAACTGTTCATATGTTTATACCTGTTGTAAACATTGTCACCTATGATTGGTAATTAACTTTGATTTTCATGAGAAGGTAAACCCAGATGAATAAAAATATACGTGGTTGGGTGGTAGAATAAATGGGAAATGTGTATATGTTTACATTGGGAAGTTTACATTTCTGATTTATTAAATGTGCTATATGTGGTGGATTGAGGTTAATAGACTCTCGGTTAAAGCTAGACATCTTGAAAATATTGAATTTAATAAATATGAATAGCTCTTCACCAAGAACTTTGTCATGGCAGAATCAAACAAATTGTATGCTGTAGTTAGTGGCAAATCCAGGAATTTGAAATAAATTGGGCCCAGGGAGAAACTTATTAACAGATGGAGGGTCTATACCACCTCATATATGGGCATACAACAATGTTTTTGTCAAAGGAAATTTGGTAATCTAGACAGATCTTAAGATGATGAATTAACACACATTGTTTTTTCTTACAGTGATTTGTCATTTAACAAAGGTGACATGGTGATCCTACGCAAGCGAATCGATGAAAACTGGTACTTGGGGGAACTGAATGGCAAAGTCGGTTTCTTCCCAGCAGCCTATGTCAAAGTTGTAAATCCACTGCCAAAAGCGCCACCACAGTGCAAGGCCCTCTATAGTTTTGATGTCAAAGAGAAAGATGACAAAGACTGTCTGTCGTTTGTCAAGGTTTGTTACTGTTTTTGGCACAGCCTTGATATATTTTTCTTTTATTTTGTATTTATTCATATTTGCAGGCATGCAGATCCACACAACATACATTCATAAACATCAAAATGAGTAGTATACAAAATATAATTTATTTTACTTTATATTGAAATTTAATTTTTATTTTGTATTTGGCTCAAGTTTAAACAAATTATCATTTTACATAGGTTGTAGTCTTAATTTAAAACAAATTAAATATATACGTACTGCTACGTCTCGTTCCACTATCAATCATCAATAGATCTTCTATTCAAGCCCGAATAGTGTGGCTAACAACATCTAGCTCCCAGCTTAATGTTGTCTGAAGATCCTGGAACAAATCATAGCAGTACGTATACATTTAATCAGTTTTAAATTAAGAATTCTACAATCAATACATATAGTAAAAATGTAATGAAATTTTTCGAAAATCCTTTCTTTAATACTTATTACCATGTGATTGTCTAGTCTCATCCAAGCATATTTCATGATACACATCGCCATTAAAGTTATACGATACTTAAGTAGTATATTGATTCAGTCATTCATGTTTCTAGGAACACTGATTAATATTTTAAATAAAATACTGCATAATATAATTTATATATACTGTAGTCATAAAATTGATCACTAATATCATGTATAATTAATTAGTTGTTATTAAACTATATGACATACATATTTTAGATACATAGTTTTCTTACTGTGGATATATGATTGATTCCTTTGGACCTATATAATGAATGAGTTGAATACAAAGATACATTAAATGCAACATGTTTTAAATACATGCTTACCAGTAGAACTATAAATTACAATGATGAGTGCTCGTAACGTTATAATATGAAAATAATGCCTTGATACTTTATTATGCAGTTGTATAGCTATACTGGTATTACCTTACACATACATTTTGCATGAATATTACCGTACTCAAGATGATAATAATAATTATAAATACCAGTAATGTAGAGCACAGATTCACTTAAAAAGTGCACAAGGTGCAAAAAAAAAAAGTTAGGTTGGCTGTACTAGGGTTGGGCTTATAGCTGAGGTCGAATGGCACGGTACGTGCTTACTATACTCGCCAATTCTCACACGTTATGTGTGATTCTCGTACAGTACGATCGATCCGTATGTCACAAACTTCAAGTCAATGATTCGGTACGTCTTTAGGCCAATGAGGAATAAAAAAAAAATCTCTTAATGGCAATAAGTAACTACAATAATGTGTAATCGAATCGCTACTGGTAGAATTACAGATTGCTAAGTGAACCAAATATTAAAGCCATTAAGGAATATAATGAAGCATGATTGCTAATACATGGCTTTATACTTACTTAGGTATTCTTCACCATGCTGTTCAAACCCTTTGAAATCCATGCCTTACTTAAGCTAGTAATTCTAACCCTCGCCTTACCTTGGGCGTTCAACCATTTCATATCCAGATAACAAGCAAACCCTAGATTACATGCGTTGAATTCTCTAGGATGATAATGGTGCTTCGTCTTTCCAAAGTCCATGGTTTTATCTGCTGGATACGAATCATTAAAATAGTAGTGTTTTAGTTTTAGAATTTTTCATTTACATTTAAAGGTAACTGTTAGTGATTAGTGATGGCTGCTATAATTTGGATAGATTTGCTATGTATAGTAGACAAAATTATTTTCTATAAAATAATAATGTAAAGTAATACTGGTAATAATATAAATGATATATTGATAATTAATTTATGGTTGCAATTAAACTGATTTATTGGATATCTTTTTGCCATGCAAATCTTTAAAAAGTAGTATTACCGGTAGTAATAATGTTAACAGCAAATAGGGAGATTTCGCAGCCTTACGAAAACGATAATGAATATATGAATGACGGTATGCTGTTTAATCTGAATATGATCCTTCATGCAAAAGGCATGAATCTTCTTCCTTGTGACAGATAATCTGCTGTAGGGGAAAGGACTGTCTAAAAATTTAATGACGTAAGCATACCGTATTCATGAGCGTGCAAAAACTCCCATTTGCAATGAACAACAACACCAACATCACCAAAAATGATAGTATCTGCTAAATCAGAGTGGTAACTTTTATATACTTTCAAGATTAAAAATAATTATAAATAAAATATTTACAGTAAAGTTCTAAAAGAATTTTAATAATGACAATGTTGTTAATAGCAATGGACATTTACTTAATATTGTTTTCTTCGAAGTACCATCAAGGTTTACAGCAAGCTGTTTAACTCCATTACACAGTAAAAATTATAATAGTAAAAAGAATGCATCTCGAAAACAAGGATGGAAAGAGAGACCAGAAACTTGCCCTTTAAATGTGTCTTTAATTCACATATATAATAGTCATCAATGTCATGCTATAATTGATTTTATTATCATTTAAAGTGTAAATATTGACCAAGGATTATTCATTTTTTTGATAATGTCATCATTCACAGTGATATAATAGTCCGTCATTGCTCTATAATTGATTTTATTATCATTTAAAGTGTCAATATTAACTGATGATTATTCATCTTTGATGATGTCATCATCAATAATGTCATCATTCACAGTGACATAATAGTCCATCATTGTGCTATAATTGATTCTATTATCATTTAAGGTGTCATTATTGACTGATCATTATTCATCTTTGCTGATGTCATCATCAATAATGTCATCGTTATTCAACTCTGTCACTAAAACCTTCTGACCTGTCTCTTAGTTTAATAATTCAAAATGTATTAACCGTAAATCGAGTTTGTAGCTGAGACTTATTTTTATTGGATTATCAACTGATTAATAATTTGTTGCACGGTAGTTCGTTCATTTCTCTTGAGTAATCATACGTTGCTGCATTACTAAATTGGACTGTCATTAAGAATGAAGTTAGTTTGAACAGACTTATTAATATGCATGTATTTCGCAGAAGCCAACATATTATAGTCTTTGATAACAACATTTCAAATATTAACAAACATATACACCACCTTTAAATGTATAAATCTGGTTTGCTGAAACTTATTTTATTGAATTATCAACTGATTAATAATTTGTTGCACAGTAGTTAATTCTTTTCTCCTGAGTGATTATATGCATTTATTAAATTAGACTTTCGTTAAAATTGAAGATTATTTGAACAGACTTATTGATTTCCCAGAAGCCAAATTTTACAGTCCTGGATAAAAACATTTCAAATAACAAACATATACAACACCTACACTAATTTTCTCCTGTCAATTGCAAGTGAAAGGATCGACGGGCATATAATGTCTTTTAAGCTGAACCTAGCAATTTTCTTAATGATTTCAGCCAGAATTGTATTTAGCCCACTCGATAATTTTCTGGGAATTTCAAAGTAAGCACCACTTACCCTTCTTTTCCCCCGGGCTTATACTTAGCAAATTATAGCATATACAAATTAGAATTCTACCCGGGTACAAAAGGATAGATTGGGGTGCATACCAGACTACCTGGCTGATATTGCTTTAGCTGTACAATGCAATACAACTTTAGAATATGCTTTCCTACCCAGATTAATGTTGAGTCTGGCAGACAAAAATTCAATATATATCAAAAAACAATAATCATTAAAGAGAAAAAAAATCTGTATTAATAATATATCCCAAAGAGAAATTGAATTTTGGAGTATTGTTGTCATACTAATGTTAAATATTTTATATGAAGAACAAATTTAGCCTTCCATTTTTTTTAGAAACTAATATCATATCATATTCACTTTCCATAGAGCATGCAAGGCCTTTAATAGCCATGCTCAGAGAGGGAAAATATTATTTGATGTATTGTACAAATGGTTCTTATAAGACACAAAAAGTGTACAGTATTTGACGAAAAATTTGGGAACTCCACCTTTCCACCAGTTTTTAAATATTCAAAAATCTGGATCTCACCACTTTCATGTCATAGAAAAACCATTCATACAACATATCAGAACAATTTTTTCCTCCAGAGCTGTGGTGGCATTTGCAACAAAATTTTACTATTGTTCTCCGGTTTCTTCATCTCGAGGGCAGAAATTTCGATAATGTTTATCTAGGACATGAACATGTTCTAGGTCGCCTTATTAAAGTGTTACCATAACAACTCGCAAACCCCAAAGCATTTCCTGTTCTTATTTCACTCCAGGGAAAGTCATAAACAAACATTTTCATCTTTTAAATTACGTTTTTGATTTTTATTTTATTTTTATTTTTTTATGTATGCCTTCAGTGGATGAGAGTAATATATTTTAAACTTTAACGCAAAGAATATTAGTTTAAATGAAATACCATAAATTTGCAGTCTGCATTTCACAGACAATTCAGTTTGGAGTTTGTGAATTGTATTTTGAAGGTGAAGATTTGATTGGAGAATTTTAATAGATAAAAAGGCAAAAGTTGTTTAAATGAGTTTCAAAAACACCAGAGAGATATATTATATACTTTACTCTATCAAGAATGAATTTAAATTACAAATTATCTGGCAAAGTACCTTAATAATCATTATATATTTTATTAAGGAAATACTTTTTTTCTTGAGATTTAAAAGCATAGTTAACAGTATATATATTTAAATCCCATAAGTGTTTTTGTTTGAAAGTAGACAGATATATTGAAAGTCGTTCGACTTTTAGAACACTTATTTATCTTACAATACTTTAGTATTTCTGCCACACCTAGTTTTCATACTGTATGTATTGCATTTTTATGTGTCTATCTATCGGTATTATAGTATGGTATATTTATCTTCTAAATATGATTTTTCCATCTGTTCATTCATCTGCTCTTTGTGTATCTATCTTTCGATGTTGATATACCAAACTATTTTTTAAAATTCATCTCTCTACCTGTAAAATTAAGACTCAAATCAAATAGAAATATGACGATATTGCTTGATAATGTTAAATGTCATTTATATTCAAATACAGTGCTACGTATTAACACAGAGGTAGGTCTACAGATCAAAGATTCGTTAACCATCTAAAATGTCAGCGAATACAGTCGCTGAAATGAATGCATTTTATCTATCACTAACAAGTATGTCAGTGAATGGCGATGCATGGAGAATAGTATCACATTCAACTAATGATTGGCAAAATACAATGTATTACACCTGCCAAGATTTGGTCGATACTTTAAAAGCTTTTAAATTTTCAGTAATTTTTTTTTTTTTCAGTTCGCTAATCAATGTGTTGATTATGTTTTACAGGATGAAATTCTAAACGTGATACGTCGAGTCGATGACAATTGGGTTGAGGGAAAAAAGGGGGACAAGATTGGCATCTTTCCAATCTCATTTGTAGAGGTAAATAATAATAGTAATAATAATAATAATATAATAATAATAATTATAAATGATATTGGCCTGACTGCCTCAAATTACAAATGAAAGCAAATAACAGTGGTGTTATCTATTTCTTTAATCAAGGTATTTATGATTTATCAATTAAAGTTATTTTTTATTTTTTATTTGTATAATGATTGATGTATGTTTACATATTTTTTATGTTTAAAATTAATATCAACATTTTATAAATTAGACATGCTAAAAAAGATTGAAAGTTATATAAATATATTATTAGTATGTCAGAATTTTTATAAGCATTTTATTGGCACATGTTTTTGGACAAAAAGTATGTATCATATTTCTTTAATTTTGTATTCAATATTTTTTTCTTTGAATCCAGCGAACTTGAACTCTGTACTATGCTGTTAATTATTAACGCTGACATTAACCTGGGAATTTCCAAGAAATATGGGAAAAAACATTTAATTTCAGTCAGTGAACCCCTTTCCATAACTTGTTCCTTGCTGTTGTTGTGTTCCTAGATGAATTCTACAGCCAAGAGTTTAATTGGTCAAACGTGGACAAGAAAATCAACACCAGATTCTGGCAGTGGGAATGTAGCCAGTAACGGTAATGGCAGTGTACAAAATGGAGGAGCAACAGCTAGTCAAGAGGTTACCCGAAGGTAATGTTATATTATGCTACTTGTACCCTGTAGTTATTATTCTGTGTTGTGGTTTTCCTCCCCCTTCCCCCACTTTTTTTTTTAAAGAAATCAAAATTCATGTTAACATTTTATTTTTTTTTATTATTTTTTTATTTATTTCACATTATTAAACAGCAAATAGAGAATGGATCAATATTTCATAAACAAATCTCAGGGTCATGCAGCTTATTTAACACATCATAAAACAATAGCCAATTCGTTGTTTGAACTGCACATGCCCATATCAAGTTAAAATTACATAAACAGACATACACACAACATATGTTTATGTTGATTAACCTGGGATATGGGCATGCGCAGTTCAAACTACGAAATGGATTAATCTGGTGTCATAGGATTTGAACCCATGACCCTCGGATTGGAATGGTTAAAGTATCTTAACCATCAAGCTACAGTTATATTATTATTGTTAATTGTTGTTTTCATATACTGTACAATAGAATCTCCTCACTTTGACATACCACTATTAAGGGGACATCCCTATTAAGGGGACATCCCTATTAAGGGGACACTATGGCCATAAAATGAGGGAAAAATATCTTTTGACTCTAAGGCCAACCCATATTCAGGAGACAACCCTATTAAGTGGACACTTTTTTGGTTCCCAAAGTGTCCCCTTTAAAGGGGTTCTACTGTATTTAATAGAATGTCTACATCAATTTCAATAATATTAATCTTATCAGTCATTTACATTCATATAAATAGAAGGAATTTGAATGATTTCTTGGTCCTAAATGGCAAAAGCAAAGTTCTTAAAATTCTATGAATTTAATATCAAATGTCTTCTTTTTGTCCTTTATTCTTGATCAATTTAGTATAAAGGTCAGCATTCCCAAAGTTCACAGTAACACGATTTGTTAAGTTTATGTTAACACCCACTGATTAGATATATTGTTAATGCATCTCACTCAAACAAGTTTATGTGGAACATCCATTATCGAAATGTGTTATATTCTCACATAATGATACATTCCCTCTGAGTAAGATGCATTAGAGGGAAAAATTTAGTAAAAACAAATTAACACGAAACAAAATGGTAAAATAGGTAAATAAAAAAGAACTTTAAAAAAATTAATTAAAATACTTTGAAAATTGTCTCACATCTGTTAAAAATATGGATATATCAAAAATATGGATATATCAAGTTCATGCCTACAACTTCAAAACTGAGACATTATTTATTAACCTCCGCATTTTTTAGTTTTTTTATGACTGTTGTCACTGTATGCACCGAACCAAGGAAGGGGTTTTATTAGCCCCTTGTTCAATTTTATCATTACTATCTGGCTTCCAGCTTGAACACAGAAATGATTTACTATTCAGCGCACTGTCTTACAGAAGTGAACCTTGAAATTTGTTATTCTCTTGTGCATCTTCAAATCTATACTCGGTTCAATTTGGGAAGCTGAATGTAGGAGGTTGTGTCATGTCACATGTTCAATTCTTTATACTGGGAAGTTCACTTAAAATCTAAGATTCTGCACTAGAATCATTCAAAAAAGAAAATAATATTGAATATAGAATAGTATAGAAATCTTTCTTTTCCTTTTTCTGGATATCCAATCAGGGGCGGTGCTAGCGAGTGGTCAGGAGGGTGAAGTACTTATGTTGTGATAATCAGCAATAAGATCATGAATTTTATGGAATGCAGTCAAGAACAGTACCTTTTAAATGTCACCTCTACTGTTCCTCCTATATGTATATGTAGGCCTATAAATTTGGAGGGACAAGTTAATGTACCCATTCTTGATAAAACAAACCTCAAACTATAAATGTCAAAAGTCAACTAAATTAAGAAGTTATTTGCGTAAATTTTAAAAGCAGACAATTCTAGGTAAAAAAACAACTCAATCAAATGCAATTCAAAATTTGTTTTTGTGAAATAGGACTGTTTTCGAAATAGGGCAACTGTTAAAGAAGTACTGAATAGTTTAATGAGGTACTTAAGAGCTATCTAGATTGCTTGCTCGAAGTTGTTTATTCACAAGTAGTGCTTAAAAACTAGTGGCCAAACATTATAATCACATCATTAAGCTTTGTTCCTGTCACCCAAAAAGTACCGCGTCATGTTGATGCCATTTCTTGGGATGTGTACCTTACGTTTTTATTGCCATACATCACATGAAAAATATATGTCAATGGAGTGATGACGTATTAGGTATCATCTATTTCTGTGTGTACTTGCGTTTATTATCTTTGGGTTTATTGACGTTTGAATGTGTATGTATGTCTATCGGTATGTTTTGTGTGGTGAGATTGTATATGTTATGGTGTTTGTGTGGTTGGTCATTTTATGTTTGTATACTGTGTAGTGGTTTATTTGTTTTAATTGACATTTGTATGTAGGTTTATGGGAAACAAATCTGTATGTCTGAGGTTTTTATGCATTCTTTTGTTTTTGAGGGAGATTAATTAATTTAATATGTGTCTGGGGGTTTTATTGGCAATTATATTTTTTAGACTTGACATTGTAGTGCACATTAAGTCTGTACATTATTCTGTTGTTCTTATGTTGCAAAGGTAAACTTCAAATGTATAATGATTCACACAATTTCTCTACAGTACTTTCTAGTGGATATGGAGAACATAGCACAAAGAAAAAAAGCAATTAATTATACAAATTGTTTACAATTTCTTTTTCTTCCCACAGGAGAGAAAAAACCCAGAAGCGTCATTCATTTGGCGCCATTTTAAGTTCGCAAAATAAATCGCACCGGGACAACCATCATCGACATTCGATGGAGATTGGATCGCCGGTGCTTCTAAGTTCAAGTAATCCCGCCGCTGCAACTCTGATTGACCCTTGGGCCCTTGCGCAGTCATCTGGCGCTCAAGCCGCAAGCCTACCGACGGCAGCAGCAAGTTCTAGAAAACCCCAGGCATTACCGGCAAACTCGGCTGTAAGTGGAATAGTGTTATACTTGATTAAGAATAGAGGTCTTGAAATACGTAAATTCTACGGGAAATAGGCGTCTGGCGAAAGAAATGCTAGATGTAAGTACAGGGGAAGTGGGTGTCTGGCATGGTGAATACTGAAAACATAGTCTAGTAAAGCTATAGCCTAGGAAGGTAAGTACTTTACAGGTGAAACAGGGTCCTGAGAAGGTAAATACTCGGTAAATAGGGGTCTAACAAGATGAATATTGGGGTGGGAGGAGTGTTAAATGTCTAGCTAAGTAAATATTGGTGAAGTAGGAGTCTGACGTGGTAAGTACTGTGCTGAGGAAGTACAAGTAAGGTTTTTGGCAAAAACGGGGAAAATAGTAGTCTAGCACGGTAAAGTACAAGTGGAAATAAGAGTCTGGCTATTAGTCAATACGGCATTTAAAAGGAAAAATAAGGATCCAGCTAGCAAGTTGAGAAATGCATTTTATAAGATGATGTTATATATATTTTTGTTATTATTTTCAATAATATAACTATCATTATTTTCTACTATTATAATTATTATTATTATTATTATTATTATTATTATTATTATTATTATTATTGGTATTTTTGTTTTTAGTTTTTTCAATTTACTTGATCTTGAGAATGGTTCCATGATGGACCCGAAACGTTGATCTTTCTTGTCATTAAATTTTGTTTTGAAATGCATTTTATAAGATGATGTTATATATATTTTTGTTATTATTTTCAATAATATAACTATCATTATTTTCTACTATTATAATTATTATTATTATTATTATTATTATTATTATTATTATTATTTATATCATTATTATCTTATCTGATATTTTTCTTTAGAACCACTGCATTTTCTTCAAACAAATATTTTATATCGTCACTAAATGTAACTGCTCTTATCTGTTCCTTTAAGATTGATGTACGTTGTCATCATTTGTAATTCCATACGGAAATTACAGAACCTTTTATTATTAAAAAAAATAAAAATCTTTAAAAGTGGCATACATTTCGCATTTTGATCGATGATTTGCAATCAACTGTGTTCATTTATTTATAGCATGCTCTGTTTCTATCATATAGATTCCAGTTTCTATGGTAACCATGATGCACACACCAAATTCTCCGACGTTAATGACAGCTGGGACGGCAACAGCTGCTGCTGCCCTCAATGGTAACTGGCAATTGACTGATCAACATGCACCCGTGGCGAAGCCTCAAGTTGAGGTGTAAGTAGACCACACATAGAAGTTTTTGAAAACTATTCTAGAAGTGTGGTACTTTATATCAAGCTTAACTGACCAATCAAAACATGTTAGTCAATTACATAGCACTTGTTGCCCAACCCTGCTTCTGTATGCTTGGCTATCATTTTTTTTTTTTTACCTCGGCAAAATTATGGAAGGGGTGGGCTTAGCAGATGGTTCATTAGCAAATAAAAATGTTTGATTAACTTGTTTTTAAACGAACTAAATTTTCAAGACAACTCATTGAATTATATAGTAAGCAATTCATTTTTTAAAATGTATTAAATTAACATATTCATACTGTTGGATTTATATTTAGACAATTGATTATGACAGAACATATGGAAAAAAAATATACAACATATTTGTTTTACACCACCTCTGCTATGAATTATGTGTAAATCATTTTATTTAATTTATGTGTTATTTGTCCAGTGGCATCACCAGCATCTGAAATCTGGGTGAGGGGGGAGGGGGTGCAAGTAATTGGCAAGGTAAAATTTTAAGGTGGAAATATGCTAGGGTGTGCATTGCTCAAAATGTCTTGAAAGTGGTCCAGGGTGAAGCCCCCACAAGAGTCTACTAATATTTAGAAAATTCATATTGTAGTTTTTCTTCTACTTTTGGTGGGGGAGGGTGGGGTGAGGATAGGGACCAAGAAAATTAACTGGGGAGAAAATTCCTCTTGCTCCTCCCCACCCTCACTAATACCGCCACTGTCTTTCTCAATGTCTTAAAAGTTTTTTTATAATACTGTCTTCTCTCTTTACTTATAGGTACACTGCTGTATTTTCCTACAAACCACAAAACCCTGATGAACTTGAGCTCCGTAAGGGAGAATTTTATATGGTGAATGAAAAGTGTCGAGATGGTTGGTACAAAGGTTTATCCATAAAAACTGGCCAGATGGGTGTCTTTCCAGGAAACTATGTTCAAATGTATAGGTAAGCTAAAAAGCTTGAGTGGTTAATGCAGGAGAGAATTCAATGACACCCAACTGGCCCAGGCTCCCTAAGTTTTTGAAATTATAAAATACGAAAAAGTTTAATTTTAAGTGTGAGAGTCTTAACCAATGTCGGATGAGGTGGTCTGAACATCACCTCCAGAAGAAAGGGATGTGCTTTCCTGGATAACAATGCCTGTGGCGTTTATTAGAGGGAGGTGTTTATTCTAAACGAGACTCTGAAAGCGTTTATTCAAGGAGGGCGTGTATTTTAGGGGCCTTTATTGAAAGTGGGGCGTTTATTGAATTAAATACCGTAATAAAATATAAATTGATGCTGTCAGTGAATTTCATGCCTCTAAATTAAACTTCTAATTTTTTTTTCAGGTATGATAAACCTCGAAGATCGTCTTCAAGTACAGCATCTGAGATTAGTTCAAATTTGCCAAATCCAATACCAGTAACTATGGCAACTGTTACGACCTCCAGTACCACATCAGGGGTGACCTCAATTGCGCAATCACAGCTTGTCAGCTGTGTAAATAATCAATCAGGTGCTAATTTGCATATACGAAATACAGGTGTAAGCTCCACAGCTTGCCAAACAATACCCATCTCACAGCCAAGTAAGACCAGCATTCAAGGAACATCAGGTGTTACTTCTGGTAGTCCAAACACATATCCAGTACTAGAAACAAGAATACAATCTCTTCCTTCCCACGACGCATCAAAAATGGCAGATATGCATTGTAACGCTGGTCAAAAGCAAATATCACATACTGAGCGTGCTCCACATAAACAATCCACACCTATGAATATTCCAACACAGGTGGCCAAGCAAACTGTAAACAATTCACCGCGAAATTCGCCACCTGGATATCACGGAGCAAGAGTAGCTGTCAGTAGTACAAGTACTAACCGGGTGGTTGCCGGTACCCAGACTATGGCTACTCAAACAAGCACTCAAAAAATTCCTGTACGGACACAACAACCAGTCAGACCAAAGCACCCATCTGTCGCCTTTAGACATGGTTCCGCAAGTCCACCAAATGTACCAATGCACCCAAGTCAAAATAGCCGCTCGACCCAAGGACCATATCAACAGCAAGCGTTACCTAGTAGTGTACCAGTTAGCCCTAGCCATTGTCACGGTAATGGAAATGCAAACGCATCAACACAATCAGTGGGAACAAATGGAAAGATGCGTGCACACAATAAAGTTGTACGTGTGAATTCGCAAACACAAACTTCAACAACTAAAGTACCAAACAGTTGCGTAAACCGTGTGCAAACTGTGCATAGAACAGTATCCACGCCAGAGCCAGTTAAGGAACCGCGAAGCAGTTCTCCCGGGGGAAGCCCAATGCGTCGCCGATCAACATCAGCCGGGGCTGACGATCGACAGATGTTGATTCTAGAAGGAGCATCTAGTAATCTTCCAAAATCGGTAGCAACTCAATTTGACGGACCTCATACACCGCACAGTACAAAAGAGCCGCAGCATTCCACTGCAGTAAATGATTATATTGTGAATTTGTCACTGCAGAAAAACCGTAGGCACAGCGAAGGGGAACAGGATAAAAGACTTGCCGTGCACAAGCCCAGTCACACACCCCCACCAGCTTCATCCCCACCTGGGTCACCACCTCCAGCTTATTCAGCAATACCAATGCACGGAACATTTGTCCCGAAACCTGTCTATCAAACAGGACCCGATGGTCTTCTGGCCGTGATGGATCCGCCAATAACGCCTCCAAATAGGACGGTACCAGATTATGATGTATTCTTCCCAAGCACGACGGCAGGTGGTTCACCAAAGAATGAAAAGGTGCAGTGTCTTATTTTATGTTTAATGAAAAGTATAGCCCATTTGTACGGTCTCCTGATGAAGTCCACTGTGTGGACGAAAGCTTGAGAATAAATTATATATTGTTAGTCTCAAAAGTGCTGCTGTTATTTACTTTATACTATTGTATGTTTTCGCTCTTTCTGTTGAGAAAAGTTCAATAAGTGAAAATACTTTTCATGATTATTTTAAATTAAACATTCTACTTTTTAGTATACAGTACAATTATTTAATAGTTATAAGATTTAGATTTCAAGTAGAAACAAGAAAATATTTTAATAATAATAATATAGAAATTTATATAGCGCCATTTGCCAAATGGTACGAGGCACTTAGATATGGTGGACGAGTAACACAAAACAAAGACTCCCTTCGCCCCTGAGGGTCCCTTCATGTTTGTGGTCTCTGCATAGACCAAACCATTAATTTTTTTTTTTTTTTTTCTTCACATCCAACAGCAAGTACACTTGTCACTTACAGGATGAAATGATGCTTTATAAACTAAGTCTCTTTATGAGGCTTAGGGAGTGGAGTTGTTTTTAGTCGTGAGAAAAAGTCCTTCTGTCACAGAAATTGAACCCAGGACCTTGGGATCAGAAGGCAAGCACCTTAACCACTGAGCTATTCAACTCTACTCCATTGTCTGTTAGTCCAGCAGACAAAAGAATTTTTGTAGTAAAATTAATGTGCATATTTAGCAATACTGTACATATAAGCTTTTTGTCATGTTAAATTATCTTACATAAAGTATGTAATCTCAAGACCTGTACAGTATTTAAAATATAATTCACCTGCAAAGACTGTTCATCACATTTGAACAATATATTACGTTGTCTTGACTTTCAGAAGGAACGTAAAGAGAAGGAACGCTCAACTAGTTTTATGCGCAAGCTTCGCAAAAGATCAAAATCACCGCCAGATGACCATTCTCACGCCAGATCGTCATCTCTACCAATTGATGAGCAAGCACCTCATGTTGGTGAACGTAAATCTAAATCAGCAGACAGTACTGGCCGCACAGAATCTGAAAACGCCGCATCAAATAGTGCAGACAGACGCGAGAAACCTTCTAAAACCCCACAGCTAGCTAGAGCTATGTAAGTCTGTTTTTTGCTATTTGTCGGGGAATTTTTTGAATTTTTTTTTATGCTGTTGAGCCACCACCATACGATCGTAATAGTATGCAACACCTTGCACATACATTATCACTGCTTGCACTAAACATTTTTAATCCCTAAAATTTGACAGCTTAGTAAGGCATGCTTAAACTTTTGGTGCTCAAGATTTGATTTTTCCCCGACGACCTTGCTGGAAATTACCAGACAGAGGTCCAAGTGGGGGGTCCAGAGGTCCCCACCAGGGTCCCCTCCCTCCGCCCGCTAGCGCCGTCCCTGTGCATATGGTCAGCAGGCATGATGTACACAGATGACAGCCAATAACCAATAACAAGATGGAGAGCCCAGGATTTTTAGATTTAACTCAAGCATTATAATGATGCGACCTCTGGGAATACTACTTACTGCATTTATTGCTCGCAATACACTAATAATGAAAGTTAATGAATGAAATAAAATGTTTTCTTGAAGTGAAAGTTAAAATATTCCTTTTAATGATCTGAAGCCGAGTTGAGTGGTACATTCCATTTTTCCATAAACAAAAATATTATATTCCATTGTATGAAGGAGAAACATTAATTATTTGTTATATACATTTATTATAAATAGATCTTTGATTTATAATGGCAATTTTGCTACCCACATCATCTGCACTTATTGGTTAAAAATGTTAAGTGATGGCAGGCCTATGTTTTCTAGCTTCTAAATGGCACCTCACTCCACTGACTAAAGCTGAAATTGTACGTTGAAATTGATGATTGGAACGAAATTTATCGAAAAGTGTTGGCAGCCGTGCAATGTGCACTTTTTATCATTGAATAGAACTATTAAATTAATCCCACGTGGCCCATAATCAACCAATCGAATGGCTAGAATCTAAATGGGTGTTGTACTGTACTTTTCTCTAGAGCTAATGAACTTTGTCATTAGCTTTCAATGGACAATTAAAATGAGATAGTGTTTTTCTTGCCAATTATGGTTGCATAATACCATTTGAACAGACACCTTTGTTGGCTGGTAGTATAGGTAATACTATATAGAGATTATCAAATTTCTTGACAAAAAGCTGTTGTATGCCCATATATAGTCATGATGTGCCTATATATGGTCATAATGTGATGTCATCATGACCATATTTAGGCATGTCATGTGTTTTTGACAAATAATTTTTGATAATCTGGCAGAGCCTAACAATTTTTATAGTTAAAGTTTTAAATCAGTGAAAATGTATTTTTTTTAATTATTATTTATGCGGTATAAATAATTAGTAACAACAAAATTGCTGATAAATTCCAAGTTTACAATAGTCTGACAATTAAAATATTCAAAATACAAATAGATAATAATAATAATCAATAAAAAAGCCATATACACATTTCATCTGATTGTATCTTGAAATGACATATTTGCTCCTTTAAAATTAACAAATAAGTGGTTATAGTATGTTTCAGATTTGAAGTATTACATAAAATTGATTGAAAATTTCTTTGCCCATGATATCTTTCTCTAATGAGGCTTGCTACCCACCGCTATGTGTACCCCGTTTCCATCTTAGTATTTCTGATTCCTTTGTTGTTTTTTTTCTGTGTCACTTTCAAACGCTCTTTCACATATAAAGTGAAGTCACCTTTATATCTTTAAAATATCTTATTTATATGTCTATATATGTCATTTATGTCTATATATATGTGTGTTCATATATGTCATGTATATAAATACAACAAATTTGTCTTTGTAATGTGTATGTCTATAAATAATTTATTCATATAGTGTCCGTTAGACAGCCAGCTCTTAATGGAGTGAATGATGAGCTTGAAATCAATATCTTCGTTATTATTGAGTGGTATGGGACAAGCAATAAATCAAAGATGTTTCTGTTCTGTTATTTCATTCTCATCCAGTTCACATCTTCAGTGATTTCCATCTGGTGTTCATCCTTCTATTTGATTTAAACATCCTGCTCTAATTAGCTGTAATTGATTTTTCAATTCAATATATGTGGCAAAGACAAGCCAAACCAGTCACTTGTCGCAAAAATCGAAAAAAAAGATCGGTTAAAGAGTAAAATAAGAGCTATAAAATGGTTAAAAAATCATTCAAATCTGACATTTCCTTATGAAGTTACAAGCATTTAAGAATACAGCTGTTTAAAGAACAATATATGAGAAATCAGCCTTCAAAGTTTATGATTTCAGGCATTTCTCATGCAGAAACTATCATAAAATCTTTAAAAAGTGTTGTTTTAACATTGAAATTGGGAAACATATCAGCACAGCATGATGTATAGATACATAAACCTCAGTTTAGTGAAATAAAATAGATTTATAAAAATTTTACATTCTAGCATGTTTTTGCTATTTTCTCTAAAACACAATTTGCGACGAGTGACTGGTTTGGCTTGTCTTTGCCGCATATATTTAATGTAAAACTTTGTCCAGACTATCAAATTTTATTTGACAAAAACATGTGACGTGCCTCAATATGGTCATGATGACATCACATCATGACCATATATAGGCACTTATATAGGCTCATTTCAAGGTTAAATTTTTTCTGATTTATTTATGTTTTATACAAATCCTTATTGATAAATATTGTTTCTTCACAGTTTATCTTTAAATGAATAATATAATATATTTATTAATAATTTGATGTCACATGATCTTTGCAGGTATAAAGTTGTTGTACCATACCCAGCAAACAGTGATGCCGAACTCAGCTTGAAAATCGGAGATGTTGTATTTGTTCACAAGAAACGTGATGACGGGTGGTTCAAGGGAACGTTAAAGAGCTCAGGCCGGTCAGGCCTGTTTCCAGGAAGCTTCGTGGAGCTATGCTCTCTTCAGGCCTAGCTCCAGGCCTAGCTCTAGACCTAGCTTAGAAAATGTATTTATAATTCCAGAGCTGTGTGTTGAGGGTTGAGAAGAAAAAAAATGAAACCTTGAATTCCAATAAGGCCTATTTATGTTTTGACTGCCGTTAGGGTGATGTAAACTACTAGGCCTAGCTATGAAGATGATTTTCAATGCAACAGTTTATGATTATACCTACAATGCTAGTCTTCAAAATGTAAGGCCTAGGGTTGGCTTTCACACTATTACACTAAGTGAAATTGAATCCTACCAAATTTTAATTAGCAGGATTCTAAAACAACTGATAATATGTTGACGAAGTTGGGATGAAAATGCAACTGAGAAAAATAAATATTGGGGAAAATTTAGGGTTTCAGCCAATTTTATACATTTTTTTGCTTTTAATTTTTGTTTTTATGATTAATAAATTTTACACTTTGTTTAGTGAGTAAATCTGGAGTCATTAATAGGTGACATTGTCAATTACAATCAAGGAATGATGTAATTATATTTAAGCCACTTTCAGACAGAGCTACATAAGGCGTTATTACGTTATTAATATTACCGCAATATATGGATGGTCTATGTCGGTAAGCGTACCAGTGCTATTACCGCCATATTTTCAGAACTTCCGTTTGTAAATGACTATAGTTTTCTACCATATCCAAAAGCATTGACTGGCCCACTACAGTAGATATATCACATAGAGTATAAGTTTATGAACTTCTACCAGTTTACCAGCTTATGCCATTTAAATCCCAAGAGAAACCACCCCTATGAGCTATGATGGAACAGCCCACCATCCTCCAATTTATACCAAAACATTAGCTTTTTAGTACTCACCAGAGTAAAATGTGATACCTCTTCGGTTATACGTCTTCAGTAAATAACTATGCTAATTTCTCTCTCAAGAATAACAACTCCATTTAATAGTAATAGAATGGTCTGATCCCTGGTTCACATGGCCAAAATTGTCACATCCCACCTGTTTTTTTGTTAAACGAACCATTGTTTTTATACTTCTGAAATTCAATCAAAAACTTGTTAAATTAAATATCTAATGTTTGTAATATATAATTTTTATATTCTGTGAATTTTTTTTTTGTCAGTTTTTATCCCACCATTATAGTATGTATTTCTTCTGCATTTTTCTTGGTAAACTATCTGGTTTTCCCCATGTGGCTTTGATTGAGTATCTGATTTTACAACAGTTTTCAACTTAGGCCTAAGTATGAGCACTTTGGGAAGCTAGCAGCTGTTTGGTGTTCCTTTCCTGAGGAGAAGGAACATGATTTACATTCGAATATCCAACAGTGTTCTGTAAATGAGAAAATGATGGGCTTTATCGATCCATGGGAGCAGCTATAGGTACTCTGGGACCGGCTGTCTACGATGGAGGGCACAACGCTCTTATCATGATTAATGGTGTAGGCTGCAGTAATAGACTCGCATTACATACTCAACATCACATACATATTATGCTAGACTGGTAGATAGTTACATGTTTTGCCATCAAACACATCCTCCCATCGGATTCCTAATTTAATATATGGACACATTATATTTAGTAAATTTATTTGCAATGTAGGGTGTTCTGAAAGAGCTTTCCATACTTGTAAAATAGTTTTTACTGCTTGTAATTTCAGTTAATGCCAAAATAGTAAACTATATTTTTTCAGTATTTTTTCTTTAAAATTTCTTGATGCTATTTTATTTTATTTTTTTAAATTTATTTCCCTGCAGACATACACACTAGGTGCAGAAATAGAGGGAGGGCTTGCCCAGTGGGAGGGACCCATCCACCCCTCCCCCCACCTTTTTTCTACAACCCCTTCATTTAATGCACCAGTTGTGTGTTGCAGAGATGACAATCACTGTACTTGTGCGAATATGCGCAATATAAAAAAATAGGATATGGGAACTATTAAGATAAGTGGTAAAGGAAAAATAAACGTTAATAGTAATGACAAAGATGTGAATTTAAATGATGATGATGAATAAAGATAATAACCATTATCACTAAAAGTATTATATTTAGGGAAGTGGTTATACTTTACTGATTCCATCTCAATTTGCTTGATGCTCATTTTACAATAGTAGAATATCTGCAATATAAACACATTAGCTAAGAAAGATGATAAGTTTGTTCACTCCAAGTAGGACACAGATTTTATGACCAAATGAGGGCAGTATATACATGTCTCCTTGAGTGTTTTGTATTTTTATTTAATGTTGATTTTAATTTTAAGCTCTGCCCAAATTAATTATCAAATTTTCTTTGACAAAAAATGTTGTATGCCCATATTAGTCATGATGTGATGTCATCATGACCATATTTAGTGATGTCACATGTTTTTGTCAAATAAAATGTGATAGCGTGGACAGGGCTATATGCTCCTATTCCCACCCAATGTCTACCCATAAATTTTTAAGTTTAAAATGAATAGTTTTATTTTTTAGAAGTGTTTTGTAGCATTTGATTGCCACCGATTATCAGTTTCAAAATCTCATACAGACAGCAAGGTGCTTAGTTGAGATTAAGAGTTTATAATTTATATTTATGTTGTGTTTCATCTATCACTTCTGTATTATATTATACAAAATTATAAGATCATACCTGACATCTGTCAGTCATTTGTCAATAGAGGGCAGTATATCAGTAGTCATTTGTCAGTAGAGGGCAGCTTTTTTTTTAGGTCTTAAATTATAGAAATTAGGTTTTTTTTTTCTTGAATTTTAATTATTTATTCATATTCATTCATTCAAATCAGTTTCATTCACTGGTTAGCAGTGAGGCATGTTTACAAATACGTTGCTGGGATAGGTGTTTGAGCTTACAGAGAGATGAGTGGTGTGTGTATGTATGCGAGTGGTGTGTGTATGTGTGTGAATAAGTGGTGTAAATTTTGATTAATTATAAAACTTGTTAAAAAATGTTATTCAAAACTAGTTCCGAATAGAATTGACCATTATAATTTAAATCACAAATTCCTGTTCAATAATGTATACCATAGTATCCTGTTTATGGTTTCATGAAGGAATGTAAGATGTATATTACATGAGAGGAATGTAAGATTTATATTACATTTTTAAGTTATATAACGTATATGCGAGGCCTTTCCATGAAATGAGATGCATCATTAGTGAGGCCAAATTGAGATAATCATCAAATTAGTTCTGAGCCAAAATTTATATGCTTATTAGTTTATTGTTACAGTATATTTTCTAAAAACCAAGTTTCCGTACATCTAAACTTCGAGTGCTTACATCTCTGGATCTACTCATCATATTCATATTTGGTTATTTATATAGCGCCTCTCTTTGCAGAAACGAGGCGTTTTGTCCCTGGTCATTGGTCAGCGCAGGAGCAAGCGACCCCACCAGGTACCCATTTATACTCCTGGTTGGAGAGAAGCAATGCAGATAAAAGTGCCTTGCTCAAGGACACAAGCGAAATGCACAGCGAGGGATTGAAACCCTGACCTCGAGTTTGGGAAACTAAACCTTACACACCGCGCCAAACCGCTTCTACAATCATAGGAAAGTTTTTACTCTAATCTATTCAAATATACTATAACTATTTTTTGTGCAAGACTTCACATATATTGCACAGTATGGTATAAGCGAGACTTTTTTTATACCTTGTTTCGCAAACTTATTTTTTTAAAGATCGTCAGAGGATGCAAAAAGATAAAAATCAAATTTTATTGTTCAATGTGTATAATTAGGAAGAAATATACATATCATATTACAAGGCAGCAGCGGGCATAATAGAAATAAAGAAAAACGTTTATTTTTTCTGAAATTCCCATTTTTTCGTGACAAATTTTATTTTTATTTGAAATCATCAGTATTGGCGGGCAGTGTGTTCGCAAAACAAGTATAAAAGAAGTCTTGCCTAATCAAACTAAAAAATATCTGCAAGTTAACATTTGTATATTATTTGTTGAAACAAAATTGTGTGCTGGGGACATCATTGAGCAACATCTGAAGTAGTAATTATTTTTAAAAATGCCTTATTGTATATATTGTTACATTTACCTAGGTGTAGATATTCTGTAGTTGTGTCTTGTTGTATGTGTAGGCCTATACTTTGTACTTGCCAAAGATGTTAATATGCAAAGCACAAGATGTGAATTAATTTGTTGATGTTTGTTCCATGTTGCAAATGGCTGCATTCCATGGTTTATGAAGTGAAATGTGTTCAATTATGCATTAATTTCTGGTTGGATCCAGTTTAGGCAGGATCTATCCAGATACAAATTTTAGCTAAATCCTGATCTAACAAGAGTTCTCTGCCAAAATAGCTTAAATAATTTTTCTATTCCTAGACATTTTTGTTACTTTATATTCAGTAACAATCATTTCATTTGTACAAACCATTAATATTATTTGTAATACCATTAACTCATGCATAATCTTTATCAGGCATTATTCCATCTTACTGGTTTATTAGAATCTGTTGCTCCTCTTTCATTAATAGGCCTATACCTCAAAAGCCTAAATTTTCATGACATGAATTTCTAAGAAACACTAGGCTTAGACCATTTATTAATGCAGCAAAATATTGGGTTGCAGAATGCCTTACCTTTACAATTTTCATTTTTTAAGATGTTTTTTATTTGCATTCTTAACAATTTTACCATTACCTTTCATTACAGTGTGTATGCCAATTATATTTGGTATCTGTATTTTAGGAATGATTAATATTAATTAATTATTTATATTTCTTATAAACAAATAGTATGGTATATATAAGTTATAATTATGAGAAAACAAAAATGGAGATGAATTATTAGTTTTTTATAAAATGATCATGATACATATAAGATAAACATCTCAAAATGTATATTTAAAAAGTCAACCACACATATTAAATCAATAGCGACAAGATCCCCGACTATGGCCCAATAATGTAAGGTAAATGTAAACTTGTATGAATGGATTGTCAAAGTTGTGTATGTGTGTGTGGAAAAGGTAAATAAACATTAGTTGCTTACACACTAGTGAGGTTCCAAGGAAACAAATTCAACAGTACCTATTCTCAGAGAGCCTCATAATTTCTGTTATATTTATCTGTCAGATAGTATATCTACTTTTCTATTTTTCTTGGATGTTTGAGAACAAAAAAAACATATAATGCCAAGTGAATCTTTGTTATTACTTTATACTATTAGCATTTTTCAGAGCCCAGGCTATGATTGTTGATGAGTTCAATTTATGTATTATATCCATTGTACAAATGCGAATAATAACTCCAAAAGAATTAAAAATGGGGAAATATTTCTTTTGATTTTTCTTTTATAATTATGAAAAATATCAAAATTGGTATAAAAATACTTCAATACTGGATTATGTTGATCCGAATAAATATTGCGAAAAGTATCCTTTTAGTTGGTTTTTATTTGCTAGTTTATGTAATCGTTGAGAGCGAGACTTTCATTATATCTTGTTTCGCGAAAAACCGCTGACCATCTTCTTGGCCTGTTAGCACTCGTAGATACGTACAATTTTGAATACCCTGATTTTTACACACCAGCAACCAATTACTACATCACATTCTTTATACTGTATAATGCAATGAGATCTCAAACACGGCCCAAAGTGTACACTTCATACGTTTCTCACTTACTCAATTTTTTGGCCTTAAATCTTTGTTTCAGATCTAAATTGTTTTCAAAAACCTAGTGTTTAAGTTTGTGCCTGGGCAGTTGTGGTGTCATTATGTTTTCCTTTGTTTTTATCCACTTTGGCTAATGTCCCGGCAATTATTCCAGCAAGTAAGATAAAACCGAGTCGTTTGTTGGAGCTGAACTTCTTCCAGCAGTCTTCCGGGTTGTTAATATCCAGAGTCCATATCTGAAAAAAAAATTGTATGATCGCTAGTTATGCATTTACAGTACATTGCCAGGATGAACAGCAACCGATTACCTATGTAATACAAAAACAGGAAAGGAAGTTCTGGAAATATAAGAACCTGCCAAAAAATTCATATAGAACATAAAGTAGATATAGTATAGCATTTGGAAACTTGAATTCATACATAGTCAGCATGCCTTGGAATACAGTCTTAAACAGTATACGACAGTGATTTATTGATATAGATATCATTAATAGGTTACATCACATCCATTCACAAAGTGCAGAGATCAAGATGATTACATTTAACCAGATTAACATGTTATGTTGGACAGGTGGATACATTTTCCTGTTGTAATTGTGTACGATTGATTTTGTAGGACGAAGGAAACTAAAGTTCTGTATGTTCACAATGTACAAATGGTTATTTTTAGTGTGATTGTTAATAATTTTTTTAATCATTCACACATCAATTCACATGCAATAAATTTCAACAACCAACCTGACTTGATATATGCCCTGCTACTAGCCCCACAGCCAAGTAATAGGCTAACGTTTGGTCACACATGTAGCCCGCGAGGGCTAGGTTACCAATCATTGCTGTACCAAAACCGCTTAACCAATACTTGGTTTTATCACCCATCAGAATAGATGTAGATTTTAGACCAAGAGCCAAGTCATCAGATTTGTCCTGAAAGAAATTTTAGAATAAACTTAAGTGACCTAATATTTAGACTTGTGTTGAGCATGAACTTAACACCTATTTCGGAGAATCTATTAAGCATACTTTTTTAAGGGGGTGTGGCCCAACCCACCTCCCACTTGCTATCACTCCATTCCCATGATAGCATCCCTCACTTTGCACTATTCTGAGAAACTGGTGCCCCAATGTTTCAAAAATCCCAGAACTGCGCAAACACTTAGAATAAAGAACCTAAAGTAGAGACCAGAAATATAGTATTTAAAAAAAAGCTTACAAGCAAAGTTTGTCCTGACGCTAAATGACGTGAAATAGATAGAATTGAGTTAAGACAAGCTGTGACAGTCCAAGTCAATAAGTCTCGGTTGATCTAAAATATCAAGCCAATTTAGTAATACAGGTATTTTACTTTACACCTACGTCAGGTAATATTTGCAAAGTTGTCTTTTTAAGTTTTTAACTTTGAATATTTCAAACACAGCCTCTGATTCGGAATGGAGTTCTCAATCTCCACATCCCTTGCCTTGAACACAAAACATGAAGCAATATTATTAAATTAGATAAAATAAATAAAATTTTAAATATAAATTAATAATTATTATGTATTTTTCCAACAAACGATGAGGTAATGTGGAGTAATACTTGCGCCAAGATTTGCACAATGGGAGGAATCTGTCCGACTGGGAGCAGTCGGACTGTAGATCTTCCACTAAGCCCCGCCCATTTATTATAATTGCTAAGGTCCAAAAAACGACAGAGTAAAACATACATACACACACGCATGCATCTGTGGGACAACAACTGTTTTTGTGAGACCCCCCCATTTTCCTGGCTCTGTTCTGATTGGTCATCTAAGTTTGACACTATGAATAGATCCATTAGTACCCCCTGGCACCTACAAAAACAGTGTATGTATTACCCCAAAAAAACTTTTTGAAAAATAGAAATAAATGTGTTTTTTTTCCCCATTTTTGGTCAGGAAAGTTGTACAGTAGCCGACACGCCCCACTTGGGCCGCCAGTGGTGTGTACAATATCTTAACTGCCAGAAGACTGAATCACAACATATAACAGACACCAAATGAGCAACAACACTATAATGTACCAGATGCTATATTCATCATCTCCAACTAATAATTATGTATTCTTACTGGTAAATCAATCATCGAATTCACAAACATCTTTACCTGATGGCCATATATAGTATCGTACACAATCGTCCAGCATATACCACTAGTAAACAGGGGTAGAACAACCGACCAATCACAGCTCCCATGTACAGCAGACCAGCCAACCAATATACCCCAATTCATTGCAAGACCTACAAAAAATATCTGCACAAATGATTGATATTTCTATAAACACTATTATATATTTCCATAACATAGCAGTCACACTTGTGGAAGGCCAAAACCCTACTGTATATACTGACCCCGGGGAGCTCGCTTACATACCAACCTTACGGGGGTGTGCAGCGGCCACTCCAGGACACGAGACACTTGCTGAAAATTATTGGGGACTTGAACTACCATTTACCAAAATCCAGTATCGGTGGAACTACTATTACGGCCATGTAACCTAACAAATTAAATTTGTTCTGGTTCCCGATGGCGAATAAGACCGCAGTTACGTCTGTTCGCGATCTCTACTGTAGGTTTGGCACGGAGTATAGCAAAGAACTTCGCTAAAATCGTGTGGAAAATTATAATGCTTTTGATGATACAAGACGGGGCAGGGACTTTAACTACCAATTTTACATGGTATTTCCCACACTTGTGCTACTAACTCCTTGCAAATATACACTACACATGCTGAAACTCTTCCATAAATTCCCAAACTTGTGCTACCAAGTCCTCAAAAATACCCCCCGTAAATGCGGCACCTACCCATATAGAAATATTTAAGAGTGAGCCCCCCTGTGATACTCACCAAGAAATGCTTGAGGCCAAAATGTAATTCTCTTCATAAGAGGGTAAGTGACAACAAGAGCCATAGAAGAGGCCCCTACAACAATGCTATTAATTTGAGAACAAAAACAGGATTTCTTTATTATTATCATAAATATAACTATAAACAATTTCATCACACATATTAAGAAAAAATTAACGCATTAATGATATGATCATCAGCATATTTTATTTATCTTATTATTCTAAATAGTTTGTATGTATGTACATCAGATAATAATGTGTAATTATATCTAATTGATTACCAGCTATACTTTATCTATACAAGTAGTGACACCTTATCCTCCTCCAATCATCTCCATCAATACCAACATTAAATGACCCACACTCTAAAATCTGCATTGAAAAATCCACATTTGCATCTCTGAAATTATGAATGATGATGTCACTGTTACTTTACCTGTATGTGTTGAATGATAATAAAATAGCGAGGGCAGCAGATAGCTGGGCTCCAAGAAACACTAATGCTTGAAATCTTGAGATCTCTCCAGCTGCAATTGGTCTTGACTTTGTCCTGAAAACCTATCAAGTAATCAATTATATTTGGGTGAAATTTCAACATTAAATATTATGACACAACAGTACAATGATGATGATGTTGCATGTGATTTCGACAAAATATAAATAAAGGTGATGATGATGTTAATTGTGATCATGTTGGTTGTACTTTTGTAGGAGTGCTTTGTGGTTCTGTTTCTCAATGTTGAGATCAGAGGTTCAATCCCACGCTGTGCATTTCTGCTTGTGTTCTTGGGCAAGGCACTATACCTACACTTGTCTCTCTCCACCAAGGAGTACAAGTGGGTACCTGGTGGTAGGTTCAAACTCAAAATGCGCTGATTACAGTTGCAATATTATGTAATTCTACCCAGGGAGCTGAGTATGTGTTCTAATATATGTGCTTGATTCAATGACCAGGGAAAATAATGTGAAGCACTTACAGTCCTTTTTGGAAATCTAACATATTATTTTTAAAAATGGTGATGATGGTGGTGTAGTGATAATATAAGGCAGTCCCTAATCATGGAACATGTTTGTATACATTTCTAGTTCAGTTGGGTAGAGTTGCACTGCGGGACTTGTCCAAATTTTCAATATCCAAGTTGAATATCATACATTTCATACTTACTGATTTGTCAAAGTCTTTGTCCCACATATCATTAATTGTACAGCCCGCTCCTCTCATTAACAATGCACCGATTCCGCACACTCCAAGATAGTAAAAATTTGGGAAACTACCGGGACTAGCAGCCATAGCAATGCTCCACGCACAAGGTAAATACAACAGCCACGTTCCTTCAAAAGGTAAAATTGTTTTATATCATTATCATTTTAATACAGTGAGTACCTTACCTATTTTCCCGATTCTGAGGTTAGACATGGATTATGCGTACTGATGCTGTACTAATCAAATGTAAATATGGTTGATCTATCTACTAAAAGGTAATAACTTGAGACCAATGATACTCATCTACATATCTTTCTGGGGCACAGGAGTAGAGGGTTGATCATCTGGGACCTGTTATTTGTGTCCTATATTTACATGAACATAATCATAGCACAACACAACTTCAGTTCGCCATGTTACTTTTTTTATTCCCCTTGCTCAATCCTCACATGTCATAGAGGGCGGTAAACAGAATATTGTAAAGATGAGGTGTGGTATTATTGCCTAACAGGACCCTCATTGCTTTGAAACCAAGCCTCTTTATGAAGCTTAGAAAGTGTAGAGCTGTCTGCTTCTATACGAGGAATGTCAAGTCGAGTGGAAAGCTGAGCATTTCTTGGGATCCCTGATGCTCTAAAACCAACTTCTTTTATGAGGAAAGTCTTTGATTGAATGAAAATTGTAAAGGTAAAAGTAGAATAACCCATCGTCATTGTGCTGAATTGCGTATGGGCGTGTTCCATGACTACCTAGCAGCTGTAAAGAGGCACTTCTTGGTAGATACATGTTCACATCATTCCACAATGACAGGGGCTGAAATTAACCATAACATCGGGGTAACCCCCTAATCTTTCATGATTGTTGACATTTCTTTCCAGGACTTTCCCATAATTGACATGATATCATAGAATAATAATTAAAGAATAATAATTTTAAAAAAATAGGATTATCATTGATATTACTTACCTATTGGTTTATCAAAACGAATTAGACGTAGATAGGGTTGTACTCTACCAGGCATTGCATCAACTATTGCGCTTGTTTTAAAACTTATGCACCTCCCTTGTTGGCCTGGATTCTTTATCCAATCAATTGATATTTTCTTATTTATTTTAGTAGTATGAAATTGAGTATACATCTTATTTGATAATAATGGAGAATAATTCTTGAATCTTGGTAAAACATAATGAACAGTTTTGTAGGTTTTTGGTAGGAGAGTAGAAAAGTTTTGTTTTCGTTGGGAAAAATGAGGTATACTAGTAATCCTTGATGTTACAAAGATGTTGTTGATGATGAAATTGAAGGCCACACGAGAGGTCATGGCAAGACCAAGTGGACGCAACTGTTTACAGAACACATTCATCATCTTTGGGTCTGAAAGAAAAAACACAACATGGTAAAACATTTGCATACACTAGTGACAGTGAGTGAGCATTGGAAAACACTGAGGATAATGTTGCCAACGATTTTAGACAAATCCAAGGTGTTGATCAGTGGAGTGGCTTAACCCTAATCTTAAACTTCAGTCTCACTGTCTTATGCGCTGCGGGATGATTGTTGGAAGAATATCCATTACTGCAGTATTTATAGATCATATAGTAGATAGATAGGCATATTATTAACCTAGTTATACTGGTCCAATTACCAGTTAAAATAGGCCACCTCCTCTCCAGTTAGGCCTAACTAAAGACACGCATAATATGACTATCATTCCTACAGGTTAGGTATGCCTAGGCCTAGCAAGAGAAACATGGCGAAGTCCAAATAAGGGGTGTACACAGTAGGACCATTTCGGCCTTGAAGGAAGGATGGAATTAATTCAAAGAAACTAGGCAGGCCTATCTAGGCTATAGCTCGGGCCTGGCTAGGCCTAGCCTAGCCCAGAGAGCTGTTTAATAAATCAGGAAAAGTCCCTAAGCCTACCTCAAACAACACTGCTAGGTTTTAATATATAGATTAATTAGTGTACGGCATAATAAATGCATCTTAACAATCACCATTTATCAAAATGTCCCCGGCTAGGCCTAGGTCTGAAAATACTGAGAAGAGCCGTCCCCGACGACTCGGTACCCAACTTAGTATTTTGATCGTACGCTTCCTGACCTTACGAGACAGGTCATCTTCAATTCATTTTGCCGCATTCAATAAATTATTTTAACATTCCATTCTAAGGCTTTAAAAGTATAGAACAGTAGTAAAAAAAATCTCTTAATCTTTATTCAGTTGAAGCACAATATGTTTCATGTAATTATAGACAGTATATTTGCAACAAAAAGCCCAATCGCTATGTTTTTATATAGTAAATATATGTAAAACTAGCATAAACATTAGTCAACCAGCGGAAACTGAAGTAATAATCTAACATGGCAGCCTCCGTAAAATGGTAATGCTTACCGATTGAGAATTGATTGATCATTGCATTGGCTTAAATTATTGACTGATGTTGATTTTATATTTATAATTTAGTTAATTGTAGGGTTCGTTAGTACTAAAATTGTGCTGTGACTATGTCTATGTTACTACTAGGTTATGCTCGGCCTAGGCCGGCTTCGTCGCCTAGGCCTAGGCTAGGCCGGCTTCGTCGTAAGTCAAAATATTCTGCAGTGCAGTCTGACGTGACTCGGTTGGTGTGGTTGGTGGTAGATGTGGTTCGGCCTAGCAAGAAAGTATTTTCTGTAAAGTTTTAGCTCTGTAATCACGGTTTTTTGGGGGAGGGGTCGTATTTATTCAATATGTTGGAAACAGTATTAGTATTATCATCTTGCTGACAAATAATTGAATTGTGAGGAAAATTAATTTTAGAAACAACTTTGTTTTTGTGGAAAAAGGCCATTGGAATAGTTCCGCATTCTCATTCTTCAAAGGACTATTAAAACCCTGAAAAGTATTCTGTAATTTCTGTATCTTAAAGGTCTTTTTCATTGATATAAATTATATGTTTTCTGTCTGGTTTTATTTACAGTCTTGTAACGAATATGATTAAAGCTAATAGCATCATGGTCTTCTCCAAATCAACGTGTCCATTTTGTCTGATGGCTAAATCTGTGTTAAAAGATGCTGGAGCTAAAAATATGACAGTGTTGGAAATTGAGAATAGACCAGATGCTTTTGATATTCAGGTAAATAATAGGGAAGTACAGTATTTGCATATTAGTGAACTTTTGCTTAAAGTACTTCCAAAGGTTTTTGCTAAATGTTCAATTAACATTTGTCCTTGTACATACATTAAATATTTATGCAACCATTGTTCCAAATTTAAACACTCTAGTAGTAGAGCGGCTAAGGTTGAATTTCAGATAGAATCATGCACTTTTGTAGGAAAGCATGATACTATGTTGCATAAGGATCATTATAAAAATAAACCCAAAAAATAATGCCTCCTAGTGGCCACTATCTTGAAATCCATTATGGCGGTCAAAGTTAATTAATTTTAGCCAATATATTAATATATATAGCACATATCACTGTTAATTGTAAATCTTTACCTATGTTTTCAATATCAGGGAGTGTCATGCAATCATCAGAAATTATGTTAGATGGCTGCCATATTGGGATATAGATATTTCATGCCAAATATATTTGGTGTAACAAAACCCTCAAATTCACCTCATCTTTTATCCCCCTCCCCCCAACTTCCAAATAGTGCAAAAGCAGTAAAAAAAAAAAGGTTATATATATACTTAATAGGATTTGGTTACTTGAGATCTCTGCTCATTAGTCACTGTCAATGCCTAACTCCCCCAGTTTTTACTATACAGATACGGACAGATACTATTTATTTTATTGTCATTGTCGGAGACATTAAATATATTAATTAAAATTACAACGAAAATAAAAAAATAAGCATCCCGCTTCTATGGGAGTATGGTCCCCTCGTTATGTAGGTGTGGTTGGTAGACTAATATTTTCAGATGTCTTAAATAAAAGTTTTAGTTTAGGACAACTTACTAGGCAATATTTTCAGTCATAAAAAAAACATGCTTGTTGATAAAGTTTTTGGTGAAGCTAAAGCCTATTTATCCCACCCCTCTCTTCCCCCTCCTCGAAATCTACTCCTGTATTGCAACACCAGTGCCTGCACTTTTAACTCAATCTGGAGGCTTAGTCCATAAGAAGGAACAGAAATTAAAATTTTTATACAAATTTGAAGGTGTTTCTTTTCACTTTCAGAATGCCTTGAAGGATATGACCGGATCTGCTACCGTCCCTGCTGTGTTTGTCGCGGGAAAATATCTCGGAGGTGGTACGGAGACTCAGGAATTATTTGATACGGGAAAATTAAAGAAACTAATTGAAGACGTAGACACATTTATAAAGAAGAATGATAGTTCATGATGATAATCTTGCTGTGTGTGTAAGAGGCCTAATTAATTATAGATCATATTGCAATTAATTTATCAAGATATTTAACTCAATTAAAATATTGATTTTTATTTAATACTTACTTAGAATATTTTCTTGTGTTTATTTTGTTATTTATATTTTGTTCATATTTCTAGGGATGTGTAGAAGTTGTAAACTGACACAATTCCCAATACAGTATATGTGCACATACTTTGAAATCATCAACAATAAAGTACTGTAATCAAATAAACAATAAAATACAAATAACAAACAATCAACCAACAAATTAATGATCAATCAACCAATTAATAACCTATATCTAACAACAATCAACCAACCAATAACAAATTATCTAACAATCGGTTGACCATACCAAATCTTGTATTGATCAATTAAACCAATAACAAATCATCTAATGATCAATTAACCAATAACAATAATTTAACAATCGGTCAACTAGAGCAATGCATCCAACAATCAAGCAATACCAAATCATTTAATGAACAATCAACCAATAAGAAATCATCTAATGATCAACCAACCAATAACAAATCATCTAATGATCAATTAACCAATATCAAATCATCTAATGATCAATTAACCAATAACAAATCATCTATCAATCAACCCATCAAAATCATAACAATCAACCCATAATAGGCCTAAATCATTTAACAATCGACCAATAACAAATCTGATCGATTAACCAATAAAAAAAAACCATCTAATGATCGATTAACCAATAACAAATCATTTAACAATCGCTCAACTATAGGAAAACATCACACTAATCAATCAAGCAATGGTTATTATTTAATGATCAATTAACCAATAAATCATTTATCAATAACAACCCATAACAAATTATCTAACAATCAACCAATGACAAATCATTTAATATCGGCCAATAACAAATCATCTAACAATCCAATAACCAATCATATAATCAACCATTAACAATCATAATCAATTCACCAATAACACAAATCATCAGCGGCAATCAATTCAGCATTAATATTAACATACCGTATTTATTTGAATAAACACCCCACCCCCTTCGAACAAACACCCCCTATGTAAAGTCTTATTTGGAATAATTGTCTCGTGAGTGAATTTCCCGTACGATTATAAAATCGTAACGATACTGGGTTACATAATATCACTACTACAATTTTACATGGACAAAGCAATTCATACTTAAACAGTACATTAAATTTAAATGTAAATATAATGACTTTGACAAATAAATAACAATAATTTAAACGTGTACATAGTATCACTACTACAATAATAAGATTAATATTTTTCAATCTTATAATTAATTTTATATAGCCGGAGTTAGTTTCGACCTAGGCAAACCTTTGCTAAAAAGGTACACTTTCTCCATCAAAAGGCTTCATGAATGGAATGACCTGTTCGAAGCACGAACTCCTGTAGACCAAACCCAGTACCGTTACGATTTTTAATCGTACGGGAAATCCATTCACGATCATATAATCAACCAATAACAATCATAATCAATTCACCAATAACACAAATCATCATCGGCAATCAATTCAGCAATAATATTAACATACCATATTTATTTGAATAAACACCCCCCAACCCCTTCGAACAATCACCCCCTATGTAAAGCCTTACTTGGAATAATTGACCCAGGCGTTTGTACTTTCCTCGAACAAAGTCCCCCTAAATGACTGTAAACAAGTATAATGGAAGAAAAGTCATTATCAACACTATCTATTAATGTTCTATTCCAGTAGAATTACATTTTTCTAACCTGGTTGGGATCAGTAAGTCTTTATGATCACGCAATGACACATTTTGATGGTAGGCCTAATATATGTTCTAGTTATTTATTTATTTATTACGGTATAAAATATATTACAAAACAATTATAGCAAAGAGCTAAATATGTTTGTATTACAAAATAGAAAAAGAAAAAAATATATATCCCTAGAAAAATATACATAAATATAACAATAGAAAAATAAAATTTATGGAACAGGCCATTAAAAATTTACAAACAACATCAAAATTAAAATAAACATTTACAGTGAAATTAAGGGGCGTTTGAGTATAAGTGACGTACTTGTATACATTTCACACTAATAAAATTAAACACCTCCCTCGAATTAACGACCCTTCAAAACCCCTTCTCAAGAGTAAGCGCCCCGAGGCGTGTATTCGAGTATATTATATATGTACGGTATAATACAGTTTTACTGTACTGTGTTTAACAATCAACCATTAAAAGATCATCCATGAATCAAAACAAATCATCCACCAATCAGTCAAAACATAAATAATTCAACAATAATCCAATAAACCATCTAACATGAAATAAATCAGAAATCAACTATTATAATATTAATATTTAATTGACCAATAATCAAACACATCGATATAACTCATTCAAAATGTATGATGTATTGGTTGACCGATGTATGAATTAAATAATAGTACTGTACTGTAAAAATAACATAACACGTGTTTACGTTGTATTTACGTTTTAAATACTAACAATACCATTAACAAACCATCTAACAATCAACCAATAACAAATCATTTTATTTATTGCCGTTTTTGTATTTATGTTCTTAAATTTAAAAACGTACATAAAACACACAATTCATTAAATAAGTGATTCTATGAGATTAACGGCACGACGAGTTCAAACTGCAAGAAGTGGCGTCAAACACGTCTGCAAAAAAAACGATCGTGCATGTGTGCCAGTGAATGACAAGTGCGCCCTCAATTTTATCATACTTAGCAACCATGGGAACTCCTCCGACGCTGTTCCATAGAAACCGGACATTACACGCTTGCTTCATAACAAAAGCCGCAATGCAAACAGCTGACGCAGGCGCGGCCTCACGACACCACCAAAACAATCGATAACAACCACGGGGACAGAAACGCTTCAATCGCCGGTGACACCATACAGAGACGCGTACTAAAAAACGTAACAATTCACAATAATGGCGTCTGGAATAGATACGCAATACCAAGGCCCTATTTCGGCATTTAACACACAGTCTGTTGATAGTCGAACCCGTTTTCTAACTGAGGTAAGATACGTTTCGTTTTTTTTCAGCAGAAATGTATGATAGGAATGCCAAAATGGTTAGGCCTACATAGTATAATAGCCGATGTCATTCCATTATGACCACACACCACCAGTCTGAGTCGATAATAAAGTTATTGAGGAAGTACGTTAAAAATATTTAAAAAGTTTAGTACCCTGGGGTTCTCGAAATGTTGTTTTTGAAGACGGTGCAATGCAGTATTCCTGAGGAATATTAATAATGTTTATAATCATAATTACAACTGGCTTACACGGTATATGGAGGCCCAGAGGAGGGAGGGGTGATTAGAAAGTACATTGAAATACGACTTTGTTTTTACTTGGCTAGGCTAAGTTTTTTAGGGGCATCATGTTTTTTTTTTTTTTTAATTACAAT